TCTGCTAGTTCTCTCTCTCTCTCAATTTCTTGTTGGCGAAGCTTGGCATAATAACTGTGACCAGAGAAAGGCAAATGCGTAAGGTTCACGAGCTGCCATCCCAAGGTCAGCAGAACGTTCCTGGCTGTTTCCCTATACCTTCATCCAACTCTCTGTGGTGAAAGCTCATATACGTCCTGAGAGAACTGCTGGCTACCTCGTGATAGTCCTCATCTTGCAGCTCACAGATATACTGTTCCAATGCCACCTCAGAACACTCCATCTGTCACTTCAGAATTCTTTAATGCGACCCAACTCTACATAACCAAGTCTTTCCAGGTATGGGACTTTTCCATATGACAACTGGGAATCTTCTGAATTTTTATCACCTTCCAAATTTCAACTGAAAATAAATCATTCCTTGCTGGTCCTCCCCGAGAACAGAGGAAAAGCAAAGTACCAGGTCCAGAAAGTTTAGTTATCTCATAAATAATAATGACGATCATGATGATGATTTACTGGGTGGTTTCTATACGCTGGCACTGGCACTAGGTGTTTACATGCACTATCACAGCTGATCCTCGTGAAAACCTCATAAAAATTATTATCACTATCTTGATTGTACCCATGAGAATATTGAGGACTAGAGAGGTTAAGCAAAGTGCCCAAGGTTATCCAGCTAGAAAATGAAAAAGATAAGATTAAAAGACTATAGGCTGACTCCTAAACCTTAAATTGCCACTCTACGTACCATTCCTCTCCACTCTGAAAGCAGAAAACCTCAAACTCTAGCCTCATAACTAGCCCCTCCTCCTTTCCCCCAAACACTATCCACCTTAAAACCCAACACTCCTCCATCCTTCCTTCACCTTTTCTTTTTTCTCCTTCGTGCGGCTGGGTCTTCATCCTCATTGTACTCCCTTGGCATCCTAGAAGAGAAAGAAATTCACTGAAAGCAAAATATTGCCACAGCCCCAGAAACCCTAAGAAGTGGCCTTGAGGACTGAAGAAAGGCCTAGAATACTGACCAAAGTAACAGTTTGAATCAGGCAAAGATCCATGTCAATATTTGTGAGTGGTTCTCAAGCTTTAGGAAGCATCACAATCACCTGAAGGACTATTAAAATTACACATCCCCAAATATCTGCCCCAGAATCTGATCTGTGGGGCTGAATGGGCCCAGAAATCTGCCCAATTCAGCACCAGCAGCAACTCTAGTACAAAGTGGTCCATGGAACGTCCTCGGAGAAAAGTGAGATCCTAGAGCACCCAGTCTTCCCTGGAGCTTCAATCTCTAGAGGGAGAGAATCAGAACCATAGGCTTCAAAACAGAACTAGCCTTCTACTTCCTAAGACATCTAGTTCAATAAATTTTCCATAGGAAGGAGATGGAAGACAAGTTGAATCATCCCCAAACTTACTCATGGTGACGTGACTTAGAGGGCGGTGCAGAAGTAGGTGCAGCCCTTGGGGTCATAAGAAGTTTCCTGAAGTCTTCATTGGTGAGTTTTGATCTATAAGGCAAAGATTCAAAAAGTTAGTACCCAAAAAGAACTGGAAGAGGAATGAGTAAAAAATATGGTTAACTCTACTGGAAATCAGGGAAATACAAATTAAAACAAAAACAGGCCACTTCTAAGGCATCAGAGTATTAATTATTAAAAAATTTGCTTGGTAAATGCACCAGAGTGTTAACTATGAAAAAGTTGGATAAATTAAGTATGAGTGAGAATTTGGGAAGTGAATACTCTAATATACTGCTGATGGAAATGTAAATCAGTATAGCCAATTTGGAGGGCAATTTGGCAGGATCTATTAAAATTTACGGGGGTATATCCTATAACCCAGCACCTTAATTCAACTATATTTAGCCTGGCCAGTTACTGGCATATGTGTAGAAGAAGGCCTTAAAGGAGGTTCAGTTACAGCTTTGAAAACAAAACCTTGGAGACAACTCAAATGTCCATTCACTCGAGACTAAATAAACTCTGACAATGTTTGGCAAATGGGGGGCAGATAGCACTGATAGTACAGGAGACCATTTTAATCAGCACAGCGACAAGGACTCACTCCTTGATCAAACTTTAGTCAGGTTCCTTTGAGACCTCTTCTGATTAGGCCTCTTCCTTGGCCTGCTAAGCCCAGTTTTGACAAAAAATCCTGCTAAGTCTCCCCAAAGAAGACTTTATTCAAGAGTATCGTTATAAAAGTTAAGACTATAGAAATAGGGGAGAGGGACTGAAACTCAACTCTGAATACAACAGGGACAATTGGGGATTTATAGAAAATTACTATATTATATGGATTAAAATATAATTATATTGCAAGAGGAACTCAGTTAGGCATCAAGGGTGGGATGGAAGAGGAACTTGATTAGATATCAAAGTTGATGGGAAGAGGAGCTTGATTGGTTCTCCTTGATTGATTGAGGAAATTCTCCATAAACTGGCTGAGCAGAATTCTTGCCAAAACTGGGCTCAGCAGGCCTAGTCAAAAACAGACCTTGGAGAGGGGCTGGCCTGGAGGCATAGTGGTTAAATGGTTAAGTTCGCACACTCTATGTTGGCGACCTGGGGTTCAGAGGTTTGGATCCCAGGTGCAGACCTAGCACCCCTCATCAAGCCACGCTGTGGCAGTATCCCATATAAAGCAGAGGAGGACTGGCACAGATGTTAGCTCAGCAACAATCTTCCTCAAGCAAAAAGAGGAAGATTGGCAACAGATATTAGCTCAGGGCCAATCTTCCTCAAAAAAAAAAAAAAAAAAAAAAGACCTCAGAGAAGCCTGACTGAAATTTGGTTAAGGAGGGAGTCCTTGTCACTGGGAGTCCTTGTCACTTTCATGAAAATAATCTCCAAAATATTGAGTGGGGGGGACAAAAGCAAGTGGCAAAATGATATATATATAATATAATACCACTTAATTTTAATATTTTAACTCAGAAAGCAATGATATATTTTCCTCAGATATGCATGTATATAAATGCATTAAAAAAGAACAGGAGGAAAAGATACACATCAAAAAAGGTAATGGTGGTTTCCTCTAAGAAAGGAACTGAAATTGGGGATGTTATCAGAGAACTTTACTCTTATTTTTGATGTTTTAATTTTCTACAGGAAGTATTAATTCCTATATAATATGTAATTAAACATCAACCTTAAAAATTAGCACCCTCCCTAAGCAAAACTACACTAAGATATCACCTTACATCCATCAGAATGGCAAAAATAACCAAAACAAAAAGTGACAAATCTTGGAGAGGGTGTGGAGAAAAAGGACCCCTCATACACTGCTGGTGGGAATGCAAACTGGTGCAGCCACTATGGAAAACAGTTTGGAGATTTCCCAAAAAATTAAAAATAGAAATACCATATGACCCTGCCATCCCACTACTGGGTATCTATCCAAAGAACTTGAAATCAGCAATTCCAAAAGTCCCATGCACTCCTATGTTCAATGCAGCATTATTTACAATAGCCAAGATGTGGAAGCAACCTAAGTGCCCATCAACTGATGATTGGATAAAGAAGATGTGGTGTGTATATATATATACACACACACACATACATATATATATACACACACATACATATATATATACACACATACATATATATACATACATACATACATATATATATATATATACACATACATACATATATATATATACAATGGAAGACTACTCAGCCATAAAAAAGGATAAAATTGTCCCATTCACAACAACATGGATGGACCTTGAGGGCATTATGTTACGTGAAATAAGCCAGATGGAGAAGGACAATCTCTGTATGACTCCACTCATAAGTGGAAGCTAAACATGTAGACAAAGAGAACAGATTAGTGGTTACCAGGGGAAAGGGGGCTGGGGGGGTGGGCACAAAGGGTGAAGTGGTGCACCTACAACACAACTGACAAATAATAATGTACAACTAAAATTTCACAAGGTTGTAAACTATCATAATCTCAATAAAAAGTGGAAAAAAAAAAACCTAGCACCCTCCCTGCCAGAATTTCTCCTCTAATACTCTTACGCAGTTGGCCTGATGCAGTCAAAGTTCACCGAGACAAAGCGGAAAGTGTACAATTTTTTGACCATCCTTGCTCACAAGATATTCCGAATTCTTTCACCATCACCACCACCACTCTAATCATTGCCCAGCTCATTCCCATGGTGCTACATCGAAACACTCACTGGTGGAAAGAGTGAGGATCGTCCACATCGTGGCCATCTGGAGCCAAAGGGTTGGAGAACGGCTCGCCTGAGAAAAAGAATTGACATTAATTTAATCACTCTTTGGTGTCAGGTCCTGTGCAAAAGTTGCTGATACAGTAGTTAACAATACAGATGTTGTTTTCCTGTCAAAGTGCTCACAACCTGGTGAGGAAGAAACGCAGGAAAAGCGACAGTGAGAATCAATGTAATACGTACAGAAGCGGAAAAATACAAGGGGCTATGGGAACCCAGAAGAGAGGACACCTGAAACCGCGCTGGAGGATCAGCAAAGACTTCCTGAAGATGATGTCTAAGATACTACGCGAAAGATAAACTGGCGCAACCCAAGATTAAGCGATTTGGGAGGAGGGGGTAGTTCACAGATAAAACCCACCAGTCGTCACCTGGGGCGAGGACGAGGCTTTTAGGGACCGAGTCTGGCGCTGCCTGGCCTCACTCGGGGCCCAACGGATTCGCCAGGCTCCCAGCGGCTCACTCCTGGCCCCTCCCCACCCGCGCGCATACACACACACACCGGGGTTAAACTCTGAGGCCAAAATAACGCTCCAAGCGTCCCGACCCCGTAGGGAAGAAAGGGCAGACGACCCGAGCCTTACTATCTCGCTCTGGCATTCCGTCCGCGGAGTTTTAACGTCAGCAAAGACTGACAACAAAAACACAGCACCAACAGGCTCTTCCCCACCAAGCCGCTCAGGAACCAACCCACAGTGCCTTGCGCTCCGCAGCCGCCGCCCGCCTGCACGCCCGCACGGCCGCACAGCAATTGGCGGAAACCTGACCGGTGCCCTTCAGTACTTGTATGGCATTGGCTAAACCTGTCTCCGCCCCTCTACGTCATCAGCCTATCGCGGAGAGTGGAGGGTCGGCGATTGGTCCGACTGGAGAAGTTGGCCGGAAGGGCGGGGGCGGGGTTTGGGTGTCAGCAGAGATGGCGGCGGCCGCGGCGAGTCGAGGGCTCCGGGCCAACCTGGGCCTTCGTGAGATTCGCATCCACTTATGCCAGCGCTCGCCCGGCAGCCAGGGCGTCAGGTGAGGCGCGGCGTGCTGAGGCGGGCGGGCTTCGGGGCGCCGGGGTCACGACCTCGACCTCCCGGGTGTTTGGGGAGACCCGCGCCCACACAGCACGCGCGGCGCTTTCTCCGGCCCCGCAGGGACTTCATCGAGAAACGCTATGTGGAGCTGAAGAAGGCGAACCCCGACCTGCCCATCTTAATCCGCGAGTGCTCCGATGTGCAGCCCAAGCTCTGGGCCCGCTACGGTGAGCGCCGGACGCTGGGAGTCTGGGACCCCGGTGGAGGGAAAAGGGTTCGAGGAGAGGAAGGGCCGCCCAAGGTCACGCAGAAACCCATAGAGAGACCGGAACTAGGACTTCGGCCTTGCTGTTGACCTTGTTGAGGATAAGGAAATTTACATTCGCAGTTACAGGATGCTTTGTCTCCCGGGTAACATCTGTGGAGGCAGGCCCGGGCCTGCAGAAGGACCGGGGGTTGTCGTTCTGGAATTCAGAACAGGCTTCAGATAGGGGAGAAGAGATGCTGGTCAATTCTCGTCAATGTAGGGCCTTCCAGATTACGGGTGGGCAGTGCTGGTCCAGGTAAGAGTGTGAGAATCTCAATAATAACCTAAAATAATGACTGTTTAAGCACTTCATGATAGGCCCTATGCTGAGTGCTTTCCTGCCTAAATCTCATTTAATCTTCATTAATTATATGAGAGTGGATTCTTTTTTTCTCATTGTAGAGATAAGGAGGAGTCAGAAATTCTATGCAACATACCCAAGGTTATGTAGCTAGGATACAACAGGGTTGAGCCTTTACTTTTGTTCCTGCTTCCTAGAATGCTCTTCTGCCAGACTTCCGTGGCTAGCTCCTTATTATTCAGATTGTTATTATTCGTCTCTGAGCTTATATAGCACCTCCTCAAAAAGGCATTCCCTGACTAGTTCTGTAACATTACCCTCAGCCCCTTTCTATGTTACCCTATTTCAACTTAACGACAATATGAAAATTACTATCATTTTGCCTGTCACATAGTAGGCATGGAGTAAATACTATCCTTACTGAGTAGTGGTATTTTAGTCACGGTTTTCAACTACATCTTGCCCTAGGAATGTCTGGGGGAAGCAGGGAGTCACACCTAAGGCGAACTCCTTCTAACAGTGGACATCTGCAGTAATGTCATGCACTAAAAATTGTCTGGAGGAAGAAAAAAGGTTCTCCTTCCAAAAGCCAGTAGACTAGAGGAGGAGATGGACTGAAATAACTTCAGTGTATTATACTTGGTGGACTACGGGAGCCATAGAATGGCCAACCAGCCAAGACTAGGCCCATGCAATGTGCTCACAATGGTTAATAATAAATGCCTACTGTCCCCCTTAAAACTTCCCTGAAGCACCTTCCTTCCCATTGTGGCCACCCAGAATCAGCCAAAACTCTAGTTGAACCTGCACTTCCTAGATGTGTTTGAGACCAACTGGATAAATTCTTGGCATACCAAATCCACCTTGGTCATATCTCTTTACTACCCTCCCTATCCTAACAAGACTGTAAGTTGCAAACAAAGACCTGTTGTTGTACTTTGGTAGCCCCCCCAGTGCAGAGTGGACAGTTAATCACTTCCCTCTTTCCTCAGCATTTGGCCAAGAGAAGAATGTCTCTTTGAACAACTTCAGTGCTGATCAGGTAACCAGAGCCCTGGAAAATGTGCTAAGTGGCAAAGCCTGAAGCCTCCACTGAGGTTTAAGAGTGACAGCCCCACAGCCTGGGCTCTGCTGGACTGAGTACAATGTGGAAAAATATGTTCTTCTGTTCTTTATAAAGCTTGTGCTGTAAGATGCCATCTTAGGATGTTCTTTTCCTTGTTCCATCCCTTACCCCTTATTGCACAACCTCTGAGGCAAGGCAGTTTAATATAAAAATAAAACTTTATTCTGTCCCATCAAAGGCCACTAGCTGCTGAAGCAAAAAAAAAAAAAAAAAAGAAAGGAGATCCCAGGGCCCCAGAATAAGTAGGCCACACTGAGTTCCCTCTGGTCCTCCAGCATGGACACTGCTGGGTAAAAGAAGAGCTGGGGTCCAAAGGTCTTGGCTTAGGCTTAGCTGTGGGAGCAGAGCACATAAGACCTCATTGTGGTTCTACATCCCCAAAAGGGGCTCCGTGGGGAAGGAAGCTGGGGTCGGGGAGAGGGTGTGGAGTGGAGTAAGTGACATCGAGAAGCCAGGTCACCTGTGAAGAGCTGTCTGCTGGAGAGCATGCACACGATCCTGGAGCTGTGCCTCCTTCTCATGCCTTTCCAGGGCCTGCAGCCCTGACTGCTGTAGGAAGGCCTGGGCAGCCTGAGGGCAGGGAAGAAAAGGATTCAATACCTGTGGCCCTGTGCTCTAACACTCAATTCCCACAGCCTGAAGGGTTAGCCCACCTTTTCTTGGAAGAGAGTACACTCCCAACAAGAGGATGGAGGTCCTGATCTGGAGCCCACCTAAGCTAGCCAGGACCAGAGAAGTGACTATAGTTAAGACTAAAAGGAAAGGGTACATGGTGAGACCAGAGGCTTCAGAACATGGTGGGGTTTGGGACCAGGGCCAGAAACCCACCTCTGGCCGATAGAGGAACAGCAGTTGCAGCAGCTCCAAACTCTGGCCTACTACTTCAGTGTCAGAGAAGGCCAGTGTGCCCAGCAAGGAGCAGAGCAGAGGCCCTGGCCACAGATGCTGGCAGTAAGCAGGACCCTTCTCTGCAACGTTGCAAAGAACTGTGAGCACCTGCAGACAGATACGTATACACAGTCCTCACAAAGGATGAAAGCCAAAGATTGTAATGATAGCTAAAATACATGGAGTGCTGGTCACACACCCCAGGCACTGTGCCAAGCAATTTTATATGCATGTTTTATAATCTCCACAACTGCCCTCAAATAGGATGATTATCCCCAACTATAAATGAGAAAACTGCAACTTAAGGTGGTTAGTTGATTTGCCCAAGATTAGTAACTAGTAAACCACAGTTTAGGGACTCAAACCTAGACTGGTCTGGCACTGAAGCCATCCATACCACACGACCTGCCAGCTCTCAGCTAAGGGCATTTCTGAGGACTCAGGCCTACTCCCACTGTTTACACTTTGGCCGCTAGATCTTGGACTCAAGTGACCCCAGTACCTACCAATACGCTCACCACATTAGATACTGGCAACAACTGTAAGAGGGGCTCAATCAGATCCAGGGAGAGCAAGGAGGTACAGAAACTGGGACTGTTTGCTGGAAGGAAAAATGTCAGGGTGAAGTCCCTCAAACGGGCCTGAAACCGCCCCCTCCCAATTCTACCCACCTCAGCCCAGGCCACAAGGAAGTATTCCCAGTATATAAAGGTCCAGGCCTAGGCAGATTATGGTGCATACCAGTGAGGTTGTTAAGGAGCCAGAGGCCCTCAGGAAGTAGGCTGGGCTGTTTCTGGAGAAAGAACTGCAGAAGGATAAATAAGGCTGCCACAACACGCTCATCTCTGAGCTGCATCTGCTCTCCCACAGCCCCCACCGCTGCCTCTGTTAACAAGTTGCTTAGACACCGAAGCACAGGGCATGCCAGCTGCAAAGAGAAGTTGAGGATCAGGTGTAAGGAGGGAGAGGCTACCTGCACACTGGGGGAGGAGCAGAGTAGGAGGAAAGGTCGTCCAGATCTTGACCAGTCCTCTTCACCTACCAGCTCCAGTCCTGCATCCTCAGTTCTCTGGACAGCCCCAGCCAAGTCCAACAGAAGTAGCCCGAGAGTGGAGAGAGCCCCATGGGTGATGAGCAGGGCATTGTTGACCTGGCTGGGCAACAGGAAGCAAGTAGTCACTACTCCATCAATCCGACCTTTAAGTTAGCAAACAGGTCTGTGAGTTTCCTGGGCTCCAAGAAAAGAAGACCATGGAAGGAAGAAAACTCACAACAGTTCCAGAAACCGAAGTTCAAAAACCTGAGTGTCAAGAAGGGAGCCCAGGGGAGCTCTGCGGCACTTTCCCAGTTGGCCTGTGCTACCTGCAGGTGATGTAGTGAAGGCACCAGGCAAACTCCACAGCAACCCCAAAGTTCAGCTTTGGGCCAGGTTGCAACAGTTGCAGCATGTGTTGTGGGAGAGTGGAGCCGAGGACAGAGCTGCCAGCAGAAACAGAGCTGTGAGTAGGAACCACAGAAGGCAGGATGCCTGTCGCTCTTCCCAAACTCTGACAGCAGGGGTAAAAGGGTCCAAACCCAAAGCCCTTCCCAGCCAGACACACAGAGTTAAAATGTGCAACAGCTCTGGAAACAAAGACCGATCAGGCATCCAGAGGTTACACTACCAAGTGGGTCACCCTTGCCTGCACATCTGGAGACAATTTCACCTACGGGATGATCTTCTCTGGAGCTTCCTTAGCCTGCAGAAGCTGGGACAAGGCATATCCAAGGGCTTCCAGCACAGTCACATGGGGGGACTGGAAGTAGACAGGGTAGAGATCTGACTCTGGAAGCTGGGCCATAAAGTTTCCTGAGACTTTCAACCTCTTAGCACAGGGCAGAGGCTGGAGCTGCCTGGCCAAAGCAGGTGGGGCATGTGGAAAGAAGTGAGGGGAGGGTTGCCCAGGGAATGAGAAAGGAGGTGAACACTCACCTGGACGCAGGCAGCCAAGGCTGGAACAATGCCCTGTGGCAGGAGCTGCCTTCTCACAGCCTCACTCTCCACAATCAGGTTACCCAGTGTATACAGACAGAGCTCCTGAGAGCAGGACAACAAAAGCACTGGGCTTGGCCCATCTCAGGCCAGGGTCGGGGTAGGGGTAAGGGTGGGAGTGGGGGTGAGGGTGGGAGTGGGGAGGATGGTGCAGCCCTGTCCTTGAGGCTCTGGACACAAGGGAGTGGAAGATGATGGGTATATGTCTGGCTGTGGGCATCAGGGGAAACAGGTTTTCTTCTCCCTACCTTCCAGCTCAAAGTGGACCCAAAAGTACAGTTTGTAAATCCAAGCCAAGAACAAGGTAGGGAGGTACAGAGCTTACTATAATTCTGAGCTGTGACCGGAGAGGTAGGTGAGAAGGTAGGAAGTGGCTGGCAGGCAGGCCTCAGCCACCGCAGACTGCTCAGAATGAGAGAGCTCATGAAGGCTCCGAGCCGCCTCAAGCTGCAGCAGAGCCTGGTTGCTGGTCAGGAGCCCCGACCAGGGTCCGCATGCTGCCCTCCAGCCTACATGAGTGAGCACCAGAGCCCTGCTCAGCCTGTGGCCCATGCCTTCCATACTCCTGTCCATCCCTCAGAGCCCCAGTCACCCACTCACACCATCCACATCACCCACACTGACCAGATGAAGGTCTGCTGCGTCTCGGGGTGCTGCAAGCCTCGACGAAGGCTGACCAGAGCCCGCCCTCTCTCCTTTTCCTCTGTCCCCCGCTGGGCTAGCTGCAGGAACTGCTGGATCTGGAGCCCAAGGCAGGGAGAGGAGAGATGGCAACGTACAGTTGCCAAAAAGCAAGTCTAAGTGCTGCTCTGCCCACTTCACCTGTGGGCCCTCCAGTATCACACCATCCCTAGAACTTGTCATTCACACCACAATGGCTGATGAGCACCAAGCTTGCAGAAGAGTGTACAGAAGAAGGGAATCAGAACTGGGTTTAATACCAGCCCTGCCACTTACTCTACAAGAGACCTAAACCTCAGTTTCTCACGTGAACAATGGAAATAACATCTACCCTGCCTTCTTACAGAGTTGTTTCAAGATAACCTCTCAGCCTAGCATAACCTACCCCTCCAGCCATTCTCCCCATGCAACCTGCACTCCAACAACACCTAGCATAACGTGACTTGTTTTGTAATGTTGCCGAGCTTTTGCACAATCTATTCCTTCTGCCTGGGAAACCCTCCCCACGTCCTCTCTTTCCTTTAGATTTCTACTCCTGTCACTGCCTCTGGGAAGTTAGCTCTTTCTGGCTTCCTTTGGCAGACTTAGGGCTTTCTATTGTGCTTCATGTCTCCTTCATGACAGGTGGTAGCACATCTGTCTCCTTCACTGGGCTGTGAATACTTGAAAGTACCTCAGTATCCAACAAAGTGTTTTGGGACAAAGTAAAAACACACAAATAAATAGTATAATGTAGGCATCCAATGTAAACTATCTATATAAACATAGACAATATAAGTACAGGGAATGCCCAATGCTTGCTGAATGAGTAAATGAGCTAAAACCAATTCTTTCATTCACTCATTCAATAAATACTGAGCATCTACTATATGCCCAGATGTTGTACAGGCATCTGAGTTTTCAGTGATGACAAATAAGTGTCTAGGTTTCCATAGATTTAAAGTCTAGTTGGAGAAATCATAATAAAACAAAGTAAACAATTAGACATTATGATTAATATTCTGCAAACAGGTTGTCAAGACAGAATATCAAAAGGGACCCACTTTAGATGCAGCAAATCTAAAGGCTTTGAAGACAGGAAAGAGCCTGGTACATTGTTCCGAGAACTGAAAAGGGGACAGTTTGGCTGAGATGAGTAAGCCGATAAGGTTGGAGGTAGAAGAGGTTAAGCCATGCTGGACTTTATAGGTCACAGGAAGGATTTCGATCTTTATGTGTTATTAAAAGACATATCTGACTGATGTATGGAGAATGAATTTGAGGGCAGCAAGCACAGAGGCAGATAACCTGTTAGGAGGCTGCTCTAAGTATCCAGTGAAGAGAGTGGTGGCAGCTGCGATGGCGAGGCACGTAGACTCCAGAGCTCTTTAGTAGGTAAATCACGGCTAGGACTTGATGATGTATTGATATGGGTATAAGGTAAGGAGTCGTCGAGGGATGAGTCCCCCGTTTATAGCTTAGCCCAGTGGATGGATGGAGGTGTTGAAGGGACCGCGTTCGGGTTTGGTGGCGGACCTCGGGTATTAGAGGAAGTAATTTGGCGCCAGCGTGGCGTGGACCTCACCGCGCACCCTGCCCCCTCACCTCGGCTTGCCCAAGGATCACGGCCACACATCCCCCTTCGCCTTCCTCCGGGGCGTCGTCTCTCAGCAGCCTCTTGCTGATCAGCTGCTGCTCCCTCCGCGCCTTCCGCAGTGCTGGGGGCAAAGGAGCCGGCTGAGCGTGGGAGAAGCACCCAGGACCCAGAACCCCGACTCCGATCCGAGGGCCTCCTTACCCTATCCCCACCGCCATATCCCCATCCTCCCGTGCTCGCTGCCCGCCCGCCCGCACCTGCCTCCCGCTCCCGCCGGCGGCGCCGTAGCTCCTCCACGCCACAGCCTGCCGGCCTGAGGCAGCCCTGCCGTCGGAGCCACATGCTGGAGCTGGGGGTCGGAAACGCGAAGCCCCGGCCTGGAAGACGGTACTGACAGCGCAGCCGCAGCGCAGGGCGGAAAGAGAGAAGCGAGTGGGCGGGGCACGTCGAGAAGTGGAGGCGGGGCGGAGCGAGGGGGTGCAGCCAGGGGCTGGGGCGGGGCGAGGAGCGGGGGCGGGGCGATGGGAGAGGGGCCGGACCGAGGAAGAGGGGCGTCTAAGGGAGGGCGGAGCGGGGCGGGGCGAAGCCTAGAGGCGGGGTGGGACCTGAGTGAAGAACCGAGCGAAGGCAGAGCGGCCCCCGCTCGGCCTCTGATTGGTTTCTCTCCTTCCCAATTCCAGGAACGAAAGTAGCTCAATCCTGACCCCTGCCGCCCCAAATCAGTAGCGTCACCTTCCCCTCAGCAAACACAACCTCTCTACCCCTCACGCATGCTAAACAAACGTTGAAAACTACCCCGAGCTCAGGGAAGAAACGGGACGCCTTTTCACCAGGAACGGCTCCCGCTAATGAGCGCTGGCTCAACTCTGGATGCGCGTTATCTTATTGAATGTTCGCCGCAACGATTATCCCGCTTTTATGGGTGAGGAAAATGAGACAAATACAGTAATTATTTCACTGTTCTGCATAAAAGTGAGGCGCGTTATTTTTAGGATAAATTAATTCTTTCACGAAACTTTGAGGGCCACTAATCTACTAGGTACTAAGGAAACACAGGTGAATTAAAAACTGTGTTCCTGAGGCCTGCCTGGTGGCACAGCGGTTAAGTTCGCACGTTCCGCTTCTCAGCGGCCCGGGGTTAGCTGGTTTGGATCCCGGGTGCGGACATGGCACTGCTTGGCACGCCATGCTGTGGTAGGCATCCCACGTATAAAGTAGAGGAAGATGGGCACGATGCTAGCTCAGGGCCAGGCGTCCTCAGCAAAAAAAGAGGACTGGCAGTAGTTAGCTCAGGGCTAATCTTCCTCAAAAAATAAATAAATAAATAAATAAAAACTGTGTTCCTTACCGTCATAATGCGAATTGTGGCCTACTAAGCCCTACGTGGTCTAATCGCTGCATACCTCTCCACTCTCGACTGGAAAGGCGCCTCACCTTACTCATCTCCCCTGCGATCTTCTCTTTGGTCCCCAAACAAGCCCTGCTCTTTTCCTCCTCTGGGATTTCACACAGGCAGTTACTCTGCCTAGAGCCCTGTTTCTGTCCGTCCCCCCACCCCAACCAGCACCCTTTCCTTAATAAACACCATCCTCAAGATCTCAACTCCAATATCCTCTCCTCAGAACTACTGGACCAGTGTCCCTGTTAGGAGAGCATATAGCACCATATATTCTCCTTCATAACCCTTGTCACAGCTGTCGTCAAGTTATAGTGTGATTGTTTGATGTTGTCTCCCCCTAAACGCCTTTCACAGCTCCAAGAGAGTCAAGTCCTGGTAGCACTTAAGAATTTTTATTGGAACCCTCTAATTTTTAGAAAGCTATTACTTAGGCAAATGCACAAGTATAAACAAATCTGGGAAAGGGAGTTGTTCTTCAAGCCAACTTCCTTCCCTTGAATTTAATTCCACCTCTTGGAGGCAATCCATGAAGTCTTTGATCTCTTACACAAAACATCTAGTTAAATATCTGCAGACCATCGTCCTGTCCTCCACATCTTCTCTCCAGGCCCAGCATCCATCCCCTGGACAGCCATTTATTGAGCACCTCCTCTGCACCATGCTCTGGCCGGGGATAGGGTCTTGTCCCCTTCCTCATGGGACAGGCTGGCTTCTAACACCTACATCTTTCTCTTGGTGGGGAAGGTAATACAAGTCCCTAGGCAAAATCTATGTTCTGCCCACAGTGTCTGCTTAGACAATTATAGCTACCCAAACTGTTTTTTGCATTTATCCACCTGGCAACTCTGACAACACTGTAAGAAACAGCCCAAGGTCCTCTTTACTACAGAGCTAGCTGTTCCTTTCTCCAGAGCTCCCGTAAGTCCTTGGTTTCTCCTCTATAAGAGTCCTCTTCACTGTGAACTGTAGTTCTGGATCCGTGTTTGCCTCCCCCACCTACTGGAGTACTTGAAGGACTGTGTGATGGTCATGTCTGCATCCCAGGGCTTTGCACCAGCCCTGGCTCTTGGTAGACAAGTGACGGACATTTGTTGAATCAAGGTGTGAATTGGAGATCTTTGAAGAACCGTTATTGCCCATCTTAGCCTGGACCCTTCATCCACAGTGCCTCTCCTAAAGCGATGGGATTTGCTGAGGAGCCAGGCTTCAGTGGCCTGAGGCTTCTTAATGCAGAGGCTCAATAGATGTGGCTCTGTGCCAAAGACTGTATTCATAGACAGATACTACTATTATCTCCATTTTACAAAGCAAGACCCCAGAAATCTGAGGCCCAGAAACTTTCCCAAGTCTCACAACCTCAGTGGTAGAGCTGGGATTCCAAGCTTGGCTGCCTGACTGCAGAGTCAGTGTATTTAACACGGAGCTGTAGTCACATCTTGGTCCTCAGGGATGTCCAGTGACCTGGCCTCGCCTTGGGGCATGGCTCAGGGTGTCAAGGCATTCCCAGTAGGACACACAGGGGGCAGTGTGGTTTGATGAGGCCTCTTTGTTTGAAGTGGGGACAAATGTGAAGCTCCTTCTGGAAAATAGGGGGAGTGAGAATTCAAACATTTTCATGTAGCTCTTTCCCCAGAAATCCAGAGGTGCAGAACTGTGAGGGCTGTTGTAAAAGTATAACCCCTAACCTACCCTCTGGGACACTTGTTTTTCTTGGCAAAACATGTGAGTTACTAATTAATCCTCGTTCAACACAGGAACAACACAGGAAAGGTCTAGCCGTTCCTTCCTAAGACACAGGAATTGTGCCAGGGGGAGGGCAGGAGAGCTAGGTGCAAGTGGGAAAACTGAGTTAGAAATATCTTGTTTCTCAGTTTCAGGATGAGGAAATTGAAACTGTAAGAGATTGAGCAACTTGGCCAATGTGTCTCTGTTAAACACTTCTATGTTTTTGTTTAATTGAGGTAAATTTGGTATATAATATTGTATAAGTTTCAGGCATACATCATTATAATTTGACATCTGTATACACTACAAAGTGATCACCACCAAAAGTCTAGTTGCCATCCGTGACCATACACTTGATGCCCTTCACTCATTTTGCCCCCCCCACCCCCAAATCCCTTCCCCTCTGGTAAACAGCAATCTGTGCTCTGTATCTATGAGTTTGTTTTTGTTTGGTTTGGTTTGGTTGGTTGGTTGGTTTTTAGATTCCACACGTGAGTGAAATCATACAGTATTTGTCTTTCTCCATGTGACTTACTTCACTTAGCATAATACCCTCAAGGTCCACCCATGTTGTTGCAAATGGCAAGATTTTATTCTTTTTATGGCTGAGTAGTATTCCATTGTGTATATATGTATACCACATCTTTATCCATTCATCCACTGAGAGACACTTAGGTTGTTTGCATATCTTGGCTATTGCCAACAATGCTGCAATGAACATAAGAGTGTATACATATCTTTTCAAATTAGTGTTTTCATGTTCTTTGGATAGATAGCCAGAAGCAGAATAGCTGGATCATATGGTAGTTCAACTCTTAATTTTTTGAGGAATCTCCACACTGTTTTCCATAGTAGCTGCACCAATTTACATTCCCGTCAATGGTGTACGACAGTTCACTTTTCTCTATAACCTCTCCAACACTTGTTATTTCTTGTCTTTTTGATAATAGCCACTCTAACAGGTGTGAGGTGATGATAGCTCATTGTGATTTTGATTTGCATTTCCCTGATAATTAGTGATGTTGAGCATATTTTTATGTGCTTATTGGCCATCAGTATGTCTTCTTTGGAAAAATGTTTATTCAGATCCTCTTCCCATTTTTTAATCAGATTGTTTGTTTTTGTTATTGTTGAGTTGTATGAATTCTTCATATATTTTGGATATTAACCTCTTGTCTGATGTATGATTTGCAAATACCTTCTCCCATTCAGTAGGTTGCCTTTTCATTTTTTTTTTAAGATTTTATTTTTCCTTCTTCTTCCCAAAGCCCCCCAGCACATAGTTATATATTTTCAGTTGTGGGTCCTTCTAGTTGTGGCATGTGGGACGCCGCCTCAGCATGGCTTGATGAATGGTGCCATGTCTGCGCCCAGGATCCGAACAGGCGAAACCCTGGGCCCCCAAAGCAGAGCGTGCGAACTTAAGCACTCGGCCACAGGGCTGGCAGCTGTTGCCTTTTCATTTTTATGATGATTTTCCTCACTGTGTAGAAGCTTTTTAGTGTGATGTATTCCCTTTTGTTTATTTTCGCTTTTGTTTTCCTTGCCTTTGGAGTCAGATCCACAAAAACATTGCTAAGACCCATGTCAAGGAGCTACCATCTGGGTTTTCTTCTAGGAATTTTATGCTTTCAGGTCTTACACTCAAGTCTTTAATCACTTTTGAGTTAATTTTTGTGTATGATGTAAGATACACAAGTTTCATTCTTCTGCATTTGGCTTTCTAGTTTTCCCAACAGCATTTATTGAAGTAACTGTCCTTTCTCCATTGTATGTTCTTGGCTCTTTTGTTGTAAGTTAATTGTCCATGTATGTGTAGGTTTATTTCTGGGGTCTCAATTCTGTTCCATTGGTCTGTGTGCCTGTTTTTATGTCAATACCCTACTGTTTTGATTACGATAGCTTTGTAGTAGTATAGTTTGAAATTAGGGAGCATGATACCTCCAGCTTTGTTCTTCTTTCTCAGGATTGCTTTGGCTATTCAGGATCTTCTGTGGTTCCATATAAATTTTAGAATTATTTATCCTAGTTCTGTCAAAAATGCCATCAGAATTTTGATGCATTGAATCTGTAGATTGCTTTGGGTAGTATAGACATTTGAACAATATTAATTCTTCCAGTCCATGAGCATAGAATATCTTTCCATTTATTTGTGTCTTCTTCAATTTCTTTCATCGGTGTCTTATAGTTTTCAGTGTACAGATCTTTCACCTTGTGGGGGATCAAAAGTGGCCGCCTCGAAATATGTCTCTTTGCTTTGATTATTTTCAAGAACAAAAGACTCTGAAAGAACATTTGACCTTCCCC